CGTAACAACTGTAAACTAGATATAGCAATATCATACTACATAGAAATCCAAAATATACGAACAACAAATAAAACAGGTGATTTGCAACTAAAAAAAAAAAACATCCGTAACGAATAAAACTTCTTTAAAAGATCTGATTGGTTGAAACGCTAAATGAAAAAAAGTATTTTTTATATCCCTCCTGTTTTTTTTGACACTATTTTTATTTGAACATTTCTTCCCTCTACAACTTGCGTATGTAGTTATATTTTCATTTAGCAATAAAAATTAACTTACTATGATTTAGCTAACGTTTTGATCTACATTTGCTTGAAGATGTGGACCTTTTTGTAACAACTGACGCATTACCTTCATAGTCTATTTCAGTGTCTAGCGAAATTGATCTATGATGGCACGTGCCCAACCGTGTAGAAGTTCTTGTAATGTCAGTTTCCCATGGAACAGCTATTTAACATTTGTTAAACTACTGACTCTAATTGTGACGAAAATATCGTAAAATAATAACGCTACTGCTTGACGTTAAACGTGGCTAGTTTGATTTAAAAATAGCTGCATAAACCCAGTTTTTCACATAATGCATTTCATAATGTTTGACGTCAACGCCCCTGGCATGATTAGCAAAAGTAATGGGGCCAAAAAATATTTCTGTGGCAAAATTATCAAACAACCATATTAGGCAGGTGGCAGCACTGTGTATGTAAGAATGGCTCGGATTGTTCATCTAAATGGTATTTTAAATATCTCCTCAATAGGTCATCAGAACTTTACAATACTATACAATGTTTCCTTTTATAACAATATCTATGTAATAGTTGAGTCACAAGTTCTGGGAATGTCCGTAAATATCATAGCAAAAAGTTTGAATTTATTGTTCTTCTTTATTCTGCTTGTTTATTACATAACTCAAAAACCAAAAGAATGGTGTCAACCAATTTCGCTGAGTATCTGCTTTTATAAGTATTATTCATAACTAGTAATTTACAAAAATAAATCATAATTCTAGTATACAGCTTCCTTACAGACGTTTGTTGCTCCTCGAAAAAGCTTAAGTACAGGATG